AGTGTAAGTAACCGCAGTATGAAGAAAAAGGCATGTTATTACGTTTGCGGTAGAAAAATATTTGTTTTGATTACGAACGTGAAAGTAACGGCCAAAAGTGCCTAATTTGCTCTTGGCCTCACCGTGCACCAGAGATCCGTCGACAGAGTGCAGTATCAAGGCACTCCTTAAGGATATAACTTATGGGGACAGTTTTCTGATTGACTGAAGTCATATTTTGTTGTGGACAGCCACTTTATTCGAGGATAAAGTTTCACGTTTGAGTGAATCTTCAAATGTGACTCAAATGAACTTTTATATGAAAAAGTACGCACAAACACCCGTTATTTCCGTCAATGGCTTCAAAATGTATCTTATTTTTTTATCATATACGTGATACAGAATATGTAATCCAAAACGGACGCAAAATGCAGATTAATTTAACGACAGAAAAGTTCTCTTTACAAACACAAAATTATATGTTTACGATTACGCCTATTTAAATTTATTAGTCGTTCATCCAGCTAGCAGAATGCCACCTAAAGATAAAGTTTGCTCCCACGACGTTCACACAGGTGAACCTAAGCAAACTTCTGTTTTTTTCTGATGAACCGCACCTTAATCAACTCAACTGAGTCAAAGGTACCACAAATTCCAGTACTCTATACTCACACTATAGGCTGTTGACAAACCGACATGTCTAAAATTACACCAATTCCTGTAGGATATTTAGGCGTAAACTCCACTAAAACACAGTTTGTAAAGGTAATTTTATTTGCGCTATCATATCCTTAATGGGACATTCTATACATCAAAAACGAAGTTTGCTAAATAACAAATATTTCTGCCGTTTTCGCGATTTTGCGCTTTTCTAAAGATGTCGGTATTTCAGAGCAACGAAACACAGCCTTTAATATTTCATTTATGTTTTGTATTCTTTTAAAGTTGCGCTTAATTAACATAACTATTGGATATACGCAGTTGTGTTGGGTTGCAGGTGATAAGTAGTCATTTCTAAATTTTGACACCTCTTATGAGTTTGGTAACCTACTGTAGACAGAGGCGTGCATACCATGCCGACATCTACAAGTATGTTGACAAACTTTCAGTGTGAGAGAAAGTGGATGGATGCCGTGTAATGCATTCATATTAATTCACCTTGAAGCGTGTGGATCTATTACAAAGTGCTAAATATTGGCGTCTTTTATGTCTACCAACGGATAGGAAAGCCCGGTACTTCCTAACTAAAGCGCTCCCACTTATGACGGATTCGAGATCACATCATCTCTTTCGTAAAAAAAATCCAGAATACGTGGAATAGGAATCAGAATCCGATCGTTTTGGCGTTGTCTACACACAGGAGGACGGTATGTGTAAGAGAAAGGAATGTGACTGTCATCGTGCTTGCTGGCCTGACCGTCATCAAATTCACGCCGAGTCCTTGGTGTGCCCGTCTCCAGGGCGACTCTCTAGGCGAGATGAGGCCACTAATCGCCTTGCTGTCTGGCAAGTCAGTCGAATGTAAAGACGTCATCTAACGAAATGCCGCTCTTTCAGGACAACACTCTGACTTTCAGTAAATGTGCTAACTCATGAAATGCCAACCAAAATTTTGCAATGCGTTCTCGTTTCGAAAAGATAAATTAAGTAATGTTGTAAAACTAATCATGATGCAGCATAAATCTATATTGATCCAGTTACCTCAGGGTGTCGGCTTTCGAAAGAACTTATTTTCGGCTGCATGCAAGATCTATACTCTGCAAAAAATGACTACGCAAATAGTATGCAATTTTCTCATTGATTTTCGATGTCCTTGAAAATTCAATTATATTTCATAGAAAACATGCATAAAAATATTCACTCTTTTACTTATTCAGTAGCAAATCACGTCTTCTTCCAATTTCATACTCAAAGGAAGAGTATAATTCGGTTTCAAAAAGTCTCTAATTGTGAGATTTTTAAATACTGTTTAATGGCCCTTCATGAAACGTCATGTATCTGCACTTACGAATGTGGCTTGTAAAGTTAAAAATATTGCTTAAATTCACTGCTTAATTTTATGAACCTCATATGGTCTCCTCTTAACATCGTAGAGAAATGCATGCAATATTGTTAACTTTGCAAGCCACATTCGTAAATGCAGATGCATGACGTTTCATGAACGGCCATTGAATGGTATTAAAAAATCTCACAATAAGAAACTTTTTTAAAACCGAATTATACTCCTCTTTTGAGTATGAAATTGGAAGAAGACGTGATTTGCTACTGAATAAGTAAAAGAGTGAATATTTTTATGCATGTTTTCCATGAAATATAATTGAATTTTCAAGGACATCGAAAATCAATGAGAAAATTGCATACCACATAAGTAGTCATTTTTTGCAGAGTATAGATCTTGCATGCAGCCGAAAATAAGTTCTTTCGAAAGCAGACACCCTGAGGTAATTGGATCATTATAGATTTATGCTGCATCATGATTAGTTTTACAACACTACTTAATTTATCTTTTCGAAACGAGAACGCATTTCGAAATTTTGGTTGGCATTTCATGAGTAAGCACATCTACTGTAGGTGATATTCGATCTCTGGATTCATGCTCGCTAAAGGTTGTGTCTGTTTTACATTTGCGTAAAGTTAGATAACAAAGTGCTGATTAACTGAGTCAGCTATTTGTTCGTTGAGACTCTTAGGTAGTAAAAACTCACCACTTCGACCTTTGTCATTGTCATCCTTTGAATCGAACAGCGCCGCCTTTGCCTTCTGTTGTTGTCGGGCGTACTGGGCACGACTGGGCGCTTGTTCTGGTTGTTCCTTGTAGACTGTGGCGCCAGGGGAAGCGGTGGTCCGGCAAGAAGGTAAGTATAAAAAAGCGAATTATTTGAATGTTTTGAAGCCTACTGAAGAGGAGAAGAGTGGTATATGTGTACATGTAAAGCTCTTCAGTACAACATGCTGGAAACGGCACCCATTTCTCTCGCATGACGCTCAGTATTTGACATTGACAATGGAGGGTTACTTGTCGACGTCAGGACCTAGTCCTATCGACTAGGTTGATTCATGAAGGTGGCAAAGACAACTACTTTGAGATGCCTGAACACCAAACGTTCGAATTCCCAAGATCAGGGGAATTTATAAGTGAAGAAGACAGCTGGTCGATCACCGGCACAGTCTGTGAAAACATGGGCGCCTCGGTGGGATTCGAACCCACGAGAGCAAGAGGAAGGCTTTAGCCACCTCAGCTACGAGACCCCACCGGGAGACGTGTGCAGTTAATTACATTCGGGTCAAGTTGCCCACCTTACCTATTGTAACGTCTGGATTTCCCCGATGTGACACAGTAAGTGGACTGCCCAGACAGGATTTCCTACGTAACCCATCTAGAATCCACCAGATGGCTATCAATCTGTTTATTGTTCTGAGCTTTCAAACTCGAGCAATAGTAGCCACAAAATGACAGTTCAACCATCGATGTGTCCGGTGTCAGAACATAATCAAGAATACTGCAGATGGGAGAGGACCCCTATGACTGGCGGGGCCGGAGACGCCCCTTGGCGTACCGCAATATCCGGCTCGGAGACCATGGATTGGGCGTGCCATAAGGGTCACACCAAGAAGGAACCATTTGGCAAACTTTCAAGTCACGGCTTTTAGCGCACCGTGAAAGTTTCAAGCATGTCAGGTCGTTTATAATACGGGAAATGCGCTGTGTCGTCGACCTTACCCTCTTTTCTCATTCTCAAATGCTTGAGAGTGCCATAAGTCACGTTAGGAAGGAGCAGTGGTAGTCCGACTCTCAGTTCATTAGTCCGCCACTCCATTCAAACAGACACACGACTAGGCAGACAGCGTGGACTAAGTTGGGGCGTCAGTCAGCGGTCTTCAACGATTGACGCGCCATGATTGTCTCAGGTACGAATTACACATGCAGCATGGAGACGGAGCCGAAATGCACACTTCCCACTTGGGTGGGAGGTGACAATTAGATTTTGGTGGTGGTTGATGTTGCGTGAGGTAGTTGGAGGAAGATGTGGTGGTTTGGTGTAGCCGGCGGTTGTCTACCGCAGGTTTTCATGAATGCGCATGTGATCTAATGGGCCCATGCGGTGCATGAGTGTGAACTGTAGAATGGGGGCAGTGGAGGCGGTTGCGGCGGATGTACGCTGGTGCTCCGAGCACTGGCTTGCCAGTCTCTGTGATGATGCTTTTGCCTCTGATGAGGGGTGCGAGCAGGAATCCAAAACGTCAGACTAATCAAGCTCTCGTCCCAGCGATCGTGTCTCCTTCTTCATGACTGCTTCCTGGGACTCGTCTTTTCGCTTCCATTAGCAGCTTCCTGCGTCAAAATCTATGAACAGATAGGAAAGATAGTGCTGGCTACGATAAAAACTTACATACTATGATGAGCAGGAGATCAATCGTGATAACGATCGCCCCGCCATAGAAGAGTTCCTGGAAACCGCGCCTAATCGCCGCGAACGTGTCAACTGCCTGCTGGGTGAAGTTGCTTGTAGAAAAGGACTCTGCGGAGGGTACGATAAGGGGCGTAATACCAAAGCCTAGGGCTACTCCAACCTGGGAAGTAGGAAAATGGATGGTCATTTTATTAAACAGCGATAAAAGTGTCAGAGACACATACTCATAAGACGCATATTGCACTCTCAGAAATGTTAGAAACATATCATAATCTTTAATCCCATACCCCTGAGCGGTATCTTAGTATCGGATCAAAATCATGATAGTTTGGTGTGCGCAAAGTAGAAGTCAAAGCCAAATACCTCACAGTTAACGCAGGACATCTAAATTGTGTGTGTGTGTTCTGCGCAGAACACCGCCTCATCCTGACGAACACCTTCTTCTGTCTGCCAGAGCAAGAGAAGGCCACCTGGAGGCATCCTCGGTCGCGTCAGTGGCACCTGCTGGACTATTTCCTCGTCCGGAGGCGAGATCAGCGGGACGTGCTGGTGACGAAGGCGATCGCGGGTGCTGACGGGTGGACCGACCATCGCCTCGTCATCTCGAAGATGCGTATTCGCCTACAACCTCTCAGGAGACCACAAGGTAAGCGACCCCCAGGTAAGCTGAATGTTGCCTTGTTGTCTTTGCCAGCTCATCTTCATTTCAGCAATGAGCTCGCTCAACGGTTACCCAACCTTCCAATGGCTGACGCCGACGAAGCCCCCGTGGAGAACCGCTCATGTCAACTGCGAGACACGGTCCAGGCGACAGCGCTCGCCGTCCTTGGTAGCGCTCTCCGCCAACACCAGAACTGGTTCGACGACAACGACGCCGCCATCAGAAATCGGCTTACTGAGAAGCACCGCCTACACAAAGCCTACGTAGATCACCCCACAGAGGACAACAAAGATGCCTTCTACCGCAGTCGCCGCCAGCTTCAGCAATGACTGCGCGAGATGCAGGACGCCTGGACTGCTTGCAAAGCTGAAGAGATCCAAGGCTACGCGGACCGCAACGAATGGAAGAACTTCTTTTCTGCGATCAAAGCTATCTACGGTCCGCCGACGAAGGGCACTGCTCCTCTCCTCAGCGCCGACGGCAACACTCTCCTGACTGAGAAGACGCAAATCCTGCAGCGATGGGCCGAGTATTTCCGAGGCGTCCTCAACCGCCCCTCCGTCATCTCCGACGCCGCCATCGAGCGTTTGCCGCAAGTGGAGACCAACGCGGACCTCGAACTCCCGCCATCTCTCCAGGAAACCATCAGGGCCGTGCAGCAGCTCTCCAGCGGAAATTACCCGGATCGGACGTGATCCCTGCTGAGGTCTACAAGTATGGAGGTCCCCAACTCATGGATCACCTGACTGCGCTCTTCCAGGAGATGTGGCGTCAAGGTGAAGTCCCGCAAGATTTCAAGGACGCAAGAATCATGCACCTATACAAGCGAAAAGGGAACCGCCAAATCTGCGACAATCACCGCGGCATCTCATTGCTGAACATAGCCGGGAAGATCTTCGTTCGCATCCATCTGGAACAGGGCCTTCTGCCGGAAAGCCAATGCGGCTTCCGCCGACATCGTGCGACCACGGACATGATCTTCGCCGAACGTCAACTTCAGGAGAAGTGGCAGGAGATGCGAACCCACCTGTACTTTACCTTCTTGGACCTGACGACACCCTTCGACACGGTGAATCGTGATGGACTGTGGAAGATCATGCAGAAATTTGGCTGTCCGGTACGATTCACTCAGATGGTGCGTCATCTGCACGACGGTATGATGGCGCGAGTCACGGACAACGGAGGTGTCTCAGAGGCATTCGCAGTGACCAACGGAGTGAAGCAGATATGCGTGCTGGCACCAACCCTCTTCAGTCTTATGTTCTCTGCCATGCTGTTGGACGCCTACCGCGAGGAACGCCCTGGAATCCTCATCGCCTACAGGACGGACGGTCATCTCCTGAATCAATGACGAATGCACTTCCAATCGCGCGTATCCACAACCACCGTTCACGAACTCCTCTTCGCCGACGACTGCGCCCTGAACACCACCTCGGAAGAGGAGATGCAACGGAGCATGGACCTATTCTCCGCCGCCTGCGAGAACTTCGGTCTGGTCATTAACACGCAGAAGACGGTGGTGATGCCCCAACCGCCAACCCACTCAGCCGCACCCCCCAACGCGCAGCAAATCAACGTGAATGGGACCCAACTGCAAGTGGTGGAGAACTTCCCGTACCTGGGCAGTACGCTCTCCAGCAACACCAACATCGATGACGAAGTCGCCAACAGGATCTCGAAAGCCAGTCAAGCCTTCAGTCGCCTCCAAAGCACAGTTTGGAATCGTCATGGTCTTCAACTAAGCACGAAGCTGAAAATGTACAAGGCCGTCATCCTGTCGACGCTACTGTATGGAGCGGAGACTTGGACGGTGTACACAAAGCAGGCACGCCATCTAAACCCCTTCCACCTCAGTTGTCTTCGTCGCATCCTGCGGCTGAACTGGCAAGACCGAATTCCCGACACCGATGTGCTTGGACGGACGGGAATCCTCAGCATCTACACCATGCTGAGACAAATGCAGTTGCGTTGGAGCGGCCATCTGGCGCGCATGGACGACGAGCGACTACCCAAACGACTCTTCTACGGAGACGTCGCGATGGGTTCTCGCCGCTAAGGAGGCCAAATTCGCCGTTACAAGAACACTCTGAAGTTCTCCCTGAAGCGCCTGCAAATTAACCCGACCAACTGGGAGGAGCTCGCACACGATCGACCAACCTGGAGAAAGACAGTTAAGACAGGCGCTGCGATCTATGAAGCCAACCACATCGCCGCCGCCAAAGCGAAACGCGAAGCCCGCAAATCACAACTTCGCCCAGTCCGCAACGCCGACGCACAACCGCTACCAACGTGTCCTCGGTGTCAGCGGACATTCCGGGCTCGAATCGGACTTGTTGGACGTCTTCGGATCAACGGCGCCTATCGGACTGCACCAACCATCGTCCCTTCGCCCGCCTCTTCCTCGCCATCTCAGCCGCCAACTAACCCTGACAATTCTTCTGAACCACCACTTCCATCCTACTCCTCCTCCTCCACTGCCCCAACGGCGGCCGCTCAAGAGGCCGTCTCGCACATCACCAACCGCGTCACAACAACAGACACCACTTCCACCTCTCCCGACTCCAGCGATGAGGATCAGGACTACACCTGCCCTCACCGCGACAGCACCTTCACCTCACACATCGGCCTGGTCGGTCACTTGTGAATCCATCGCACAGAGACTGGTGAACCAGTGCGTGAAGCACCAACCTACACCCACGGCACTCACCTCCACTGCCCACACTGCCCTCGCACCTTCAGGCATCGCACGGGCCTTTTCAGCCACATGCGCATCCACGAGAGCGGCCTTGACCGCACTCCCGACACACCCACAACATCCAACACATCCACCATACACAGCCCCACCCTCTCTCAATCCGTCTGCGTCACCACCACCGCGTCCTCTGTAGCTGACACTTACACC